GAAGCCATCGACGTTGCTGGCTGCAGCTGCCCGTAACAGCTCAGAGGAGGCTGGCCATGAGGGTCCGCACGCCCGCTGTCCAACTCAGCTTGCTGCGTCGACTCACTTCCAGGTGGCAATGCTGTCCTTGTGAATACCTGCTTATCCTTCTTGCCGTCTGTTCACCAGGGACAGCACTGAGAACATGCTTCTGCTCTGGATTGTGTGTTTGGATTTCACGCACCAAGTGGAGGAAACACACTCGGGCTGTTTTGCCTGAAGGACTCAGCCCCCAATAGCCTTCCACTTCTCGCTGACTTTAAGTCTCCACCGTCACACTCTTTCCATCCTCTAAGACCTCTCTCTGAAGCCCTCTGCTCATGCCAAGTGCAAAGAGCATTTCCCATCTTGCTCTGCGTGGACTCAGGAGCACTGGACATGTTCTTGACCTTCAAAGAGCTTGCTGAGCACTGGGAAACAGATAGCACCAGACAACTGAGATCACCAGGGAGGTTAGTTGGGATAGAATGGACAAAAGGGGGAAGTCTAAGAGTTAGCTGGGGCCATCAGGGAAGGGAGGGGGGGTCTCACCTGGACTGGGATGAACTCAGCCCCCCGTAGTCATGGAGGATGTGCTCTAACACCACCGTGCACCCCTGGACCACAGCGGGTTCTGGTCAATAGGTAGGCCACGATCTTCCCAGACCTTCATAGGCATGATAAATGTAACTTACAAATTAGACACAGTAAGAAATTAACAATAACTAATAGCAAAACAGAATACTTACTGTATGCCATGATGAAAGTGATCTGACATTATGAACTGCTCAGCTCTGACATTTTCCACTTAATATTTTCAAACTGTGGTTGACCACAGGTAACTGAAACTGGAGGAAGTGGAAGTACAAAGAGGGACCACTGTGTGGGAGCTTCTCAGGGGACATGGAGACAAATGGGGTCCTGGGAGGCCACTTTGAAGTCGAAGAGAGGACCGCATGGGGACCAGAAGCATGAGGTCAGCGGAGCCTCATGGGACACAGAGGAGTGGAGTTAGTGGACATGACCCTGGGGCCAGGGCATGGAGACTCCATAACCACTCCAAGATTATAGAGTTTGTAATAAAAAAATGGAAAAATTTTAGGCAAGGGAGTGACACTTTTTCATGCTTGTCAATATGGAAATAAAATTTAAAAATCCAGCTGAGTTGAGTGCATTTAAAAGTAACCTGAGTGATATTTACGATGGAATTTAGGGCGTTCTGACATTTATTCACAAAATAAGGATCTGGGCACTTGACAAACAACTGTGCTGACCTGACACCCACCCCGCCCCTCACCACCACAATCTAGGGTGAGGCTCAAGCAGCCTGGGTCCAGGTGGGACTTGCTTCTGTTCGTGTGATGGGGAATTTATTGAAGGTTGATTTTGCTAATTTGGGCTAAAGAGTCCAGAGTACTTTAAAAACCACTTTTGCTGTGCTTGGTTGGTGCCCAACACGTTGAAAGGCTTCTGCAGGCAGACAGCATTTCCATCTCCTTGGAAAGCCGTCTATTTTTATAGCAAGTGGAGATTGATTTGACGACCCACAGAAATACACATGAATGCTCCATTCATGTTTCGAGGGGACAGTCACCTTTGGCTCAGGTGTCACCCAGCTGCAAGGAGAAGGTGGCATCCATCAGATGACACACGCTGCAGAGAGACGTGTTGCTTGGCTCCAGGAGCACAAAGATGTGCTCTGTCCTGGCTACAGAAAGCCCATAAAATGTGCAGACAAGTGCAGAGCACAATGAATATGGCTCCAGGCTCCGCCGCTCCGGGCTCCGCATGCCGCAGCATTGCATGCCTGCAGCTTGTGGAGTTAGACATTGACCTTGGCTTTGGAACAAGTTTTTGCTTGTCTGCTCCAGCTTCTCTTGTCAGCCTCAGCAGATGTTGGATTCATTGTCTTACTGTGTAAACTTGTTTCTTTCAGGGAATTCGGGCCGTGACAGAGCTGGTAATGTCCCATTGTGTTACCAGGAATTCTCTCATGCTGGATAGACATTCTGCATTTGCTTGTGTCCTTGAGCTTCCTTCCTTCATTATCTTAATCAACCAACGAATGTTTATTGAGAAAGTAGGATTTGCCAAGCACTCTGCTAGGCTCCTGGGATAGAAATCTGCAGGGGACATAATGCTGTCACTGCAGAACCCCCAGCCTAGAAAGACAAACAGCAGCCGGCTTCGTGGAGGGTTGTGGTGCTTCAGGAGAATTAACATCCAACACGTGTGTGTGTGTGTGTGTGTGTGTGTGTGAGAGAGAGAGAGAGAGAGAGAGAGAGAGAGAGAGAGCGCACCTGCTTTCGCCTGTTCCATGAAATCCAAAACATCACTTCTCATGAAATGAGTAGAGTCAACCAAACTGTTTGCAGAAGCTTTTCCAACCTCCACGAGCTGCCTGCAAACAACGTCCCCCACAATGTCTGGATATCCCGGTTGTAAAGAGGTGGTTTTCAACTCCGGGTTACTTTGTCCCCTTCCCTGCAGGGAGTGACACCTGGCAAGGGCTGAAGATGTCATATTTGGGCAGGGGTGGGTGCTACTGGTGCCTGGCAGGTACATGCTGGGGTGGTTGGCCAGTACCCTCCAGTGCACAGACTAATCTCCCACAACCAGGAGTTCTGGCCTAAAGCATCAGCAGAGCCATGGTGAAGAAGACGCACTGTGAATAAACCTGTGAGGAGGTCATGCGAGCTGCACCGGGGTGCAGCTCTGCCTCCCTTGGGTCAAGATCTCTTCCTCGATCCCAGGTTAAAGGGCCTCTATCCCCAGCCGGTTCTGAATGTAGATGGGCGCCTTTGCTTCCCAGGGTCCTCCCAGCCTGAGGACAGACAGCCTCTGCCACAGTGCTGGCCAGGCCACACCCAGGCTGTTCTGGCAGGTTCTAGCCCCTCCTGGGCCTGGATCCTGTGACTGCGACCTCCCGTTGGCAGTGGCTGTCCCTCCATCCTTGGCAGCTGTCATGTCCACTGCTGCTGTGACCCCTGTTGCCCCACCTCTGTTTGTCTCTGAGTTGGAATTCCCCAGACCTGTCCCCGTGATTCCTATAAGCCTAGCTTAAATGACCTGGGTTGGGGGACTGTGGCTCTTGGGGAAACTGAAAATGTAAGCCTCGTTGTTGCCAAGTTGTGTCCTCTCTGTTTGGAGATTTCTGTGACTCCTCACACCCTGAGGTCCAGGCACATTGGAGCCACTCCACCAAGGCTGAGAGGGGAGTTCTGCCTTCACTGTCAGGAGCCCTGACCTTCAGGTGAGGCCCAGCCTGTCCTTCAGCCTTCCCTTTCCAGAGCACGCCATCAATGGCTCGGTGACTAGGACCGCTTTTCCTAGTTCACAAACATCCTGACAGCCCAGCAACCTTTCCAAATCAGCTTAATTACACTATTCGAAATCATACTACTGATATTAAGTGCTGTCTAGTAGACCATGATGATCTTTTTAAAAATTTATTTATTTATTCTAATTTGTTATATGTGACAGAAGAATGCATCTCACTTCATAGTACACACAGAGAGCACAATTTTTCATGTCTTTGGTTGATCACAAAGTAGTCACACCATACGTGTCTTCATACATGTACATGGGGTAATGATGTACATCTCATTCCACCATCTTTACTACCCCCATAACTCCTCTGTTCCCTTCCCTCCCTATTACCCTATCTAAATTTCCTCCATTCCTCCCACACCTCTCCCACCATCCCCATTTTGGATCAACATTCCATATATTAGAGAAAACATTCAGCCTTTGGTTTTGGGGATTGGATTACTTCAATTTAGGACAGTATTCTCCAACTCCACCCATTTACCTGCAAATGTCATGTTTTAATTCTCTTTTAATGCTGAGTAATATTCCCTTGTGTATATGTACCATAGTTTCTTTATCCATTCATCTACTGAAGGGCATCTAGGTTGGCTCCACAGTTTAGCTATTGTGAATTGAGCTGCTATGAACATTGATGTGGCTGTGTCTCTTTAATATGCTGTTTTTTTAAGTCCTTTGGGTATAGACTGAGGAGAGGGCTAACTGGGTCAAATGGTGGTTCCATTCCCAGCTTTCCAAGGAATCTCCATACTGCTTTCCATACTGGCTGCACCAATGTGTGAGTGTGCCTTTTCCCGACATCCTTGTCAACACTTACTGTTGTTTGTATTCTTAATAGCTATCATTTTGAATGGAGTGGGATGAAATCATAGAGTAGTTTTGATTTGCATTTCTCTAATTGCTAGAGATGTTGAACATTTTTTTCATATATTTGTTGACTGATTGTATATCATCTTTTAAGAAGTGCCTGTTCAGTTTCTCGGTCCATTTACTGACTGAGTTATTTCCTGATCTGGGTCTCTGAACAGCTAAATGGATGTACTTTTGGCCCTTATTACCAAGATATCACTTGAGTTCTATTTTTCTTAAGATTCTTAAGTCACTTAGCTTGGTTCCCTTCTTTGAAGACACTATGGTCAACACTGGGAAGATGTGCCCTCTGGGCCCCCCACCCGCTGCGCCCTGTTGTTGGGTTCCAGCAGGGCATGTGGGCCCCGTGGTGATGCATGGTGCCTCCTGCCCCCTTTGCCGAGTTAGACTCCTGCCATGCTGGACCATAGGAGCCTCCACAGATGCAAGGTAGAGAGTCAGTCCATCAGCTAATTGAAAAGTTGAGTAAGTGGGGAGTCAGAAAGCTGATGCGATATGTCTTCAATATTTTATTATCACATAAAAGATATAAATTCCCACTGATTTGCAAAGTTGTGATGTAGTGCCAGGAACTCTGAGTACAGATGGGCCGCTTGGAGTCGGGCATCGTTCTTCTTACATAAACCACAGGTGTAATCCCTCCTATATAATTTCCAGATTGGGTGCTTAAAGTGGAATGTGAAGCACTTCTACTCTGCAGAGCTTGACGGCCCGTGGCCCTTTCCTCAGACTCCTGCACTTGCTGTGCTTTTGCTCAATTTGCATCTTTCTCTTTCGTTTTCATACTCGGCTGGTTTCTTGGCATCTGATTCCACTGTGGAACAATCATACCCCTGGCCCGAGCAGGCCTGAGAACAGCGAGAAGTGTTTCCTGGGGAGCAAATTCCTGAACTGGTAAGAGCAGAAATGTGAGTGGGGGCTGGCCGGGGGTCTCGCGGGCCCAGGATGTCAGTGAGCTGGTCAGGGAGGGCTTGGACTGCTCCTGAGCTCCCAGGGTGCACTGTACTGCCATTCCCCATGCTCTTCCTCTGTCTGAAACGTTGTACTGGGCTTTTGCTTCCTGCTAGAGCTGGAATGTGTTTCCCAAAAGTTCGTGTTTTGGAAACTTGACCTCCACACTCATGTCTTCATGGTATTTAAAGGTGAGGCTCCGGGAGGCACTGAGCATGGAAGAGGTCCAGAGGGTACTTCTGTGATGGCCAGGGCTGCTTTCCAAGAAGTGGAGGAGAGACCCGAGCTTGCAGGCCTGCTCTGAGTCCGCACAGGACCATCCACCATGTGACCAGGCAGCATGAGGCAGTACCAGATGCCGGGCAGATGTTCATGCTCTTGGACTCCCTGGCCTACAGAACTCTAAGCCAAACGAGTTTCTATTCTTCATAAATTACCTTTTGCTAGCTGTTTTTTACTTCTATAGCAACAGAAAACGAAGACACTTGGCAAATGCCCACTCTCCTAGCTGACAACCACTTGTCTGGCAGCCTCTGCTGACCCCTGCTCACCTGCCTCTTTTTTAAATTTTTTTAATATTTATTTTTTAGTTGTAGGTGGACACAATATGTTTATTTTTTTTTTGACTGTTTGTAAACTTTATTTCATATGGCTTCCAGGAATTTTAAAAAGTTCAAATATGAGAAATACTTTTTTGAAAACTTTTAAGACCTGGGCTATTTGCTTTAACTTTATTTATTTTTATTTTTTTATTATTAGTTGTTCAAAACATTACAAAGCTCTTGACATATCATATTTCATACATTTGATTCAAGCAGATTATGAACTCCCATTTTCACCCCATATACATATTGCAGATTCACATCGGTTACACATCCACTTTTTTACATATTGCCATACTAGTGTCTGTTGTATTCTGCTGCCCTTCCTATCTTCTACTATCCCCACTCCCCTCCCCTCCCCTCCCCTCCTCTCCCACCTTCTCTCCCTACCCCATCTACTGTAATTCATTTCTCTCTCTTGTTTTTTTCCCCTTTCCCCTCACTTCCTCTTATATGTAATTTCATATAACAATGAGGGTCTCCTTCCTTTACCATGCAATTTCCCTTCTTTCTCCATTTCCCTCCCACCTCTCATCCCTGTTTAATGTTAATCTTCTTCTCATGCTCTTCCTCCTTATTCTGTTCTTAGTTGTTCTCCTTATATCAAAGATGACATTTGGCATTTGTTTTTTAGGGATTGGCTAGCTTCACTTAGCATAATCTTGCTCTAGTGCCATCCATTTCCCTGCAAATTCCATGATTTTGTCATTTTTTAGTGCAGAGTAATACTCCATTGTGTATAAATGCCACATTTTAAAGAGCGTACTGTAGGGATACTGCTACAATGATGTTCATAGCAGCACAATTCACAATAGCTAGACTGTGGAATCACCTGCCTCTTCTGTTCTGCTGCAGGGACCTGGGCATGTGGCAGTGGATCCCACCTGCCTTTCCCTCCCAGACTCCGCTCCTCGCAGGCAGAGCTGCCCTTTGACGCCTGCGTCTCAGTACCTGACTCAGGAGTGAGCACCTAGAGAATTGGGCCCAGCTGAAGGAATGAGTGGCTCTCCAGCTCCTTGGTTACAATCTGCTGGTTGATATGACTGCTACCATGCTCATGAAATTTAAATTAATTACACTAAAATAAGATGAAAACTTTGTTCCTTGGCTCTGTCACATTTGAAGGGCAGGATAGTGGAACCTGTGGCTGGCTGCCTCTGACGAGAGGACACAGCGGTCACGGCAGCAGGTTCTGATGGACAGCACTGCAGATCCTTAAGCATCTCAGGAGCAGATCAGGAGCACTGGTTTGGGAACACTCCCTCTGCTAAGTCCCTGACGGTCCTCAGTCCTGGGTTTCATTTCCCACGGCATCATAATGTAGCACAGTGACTCCTTTCTTCAAACAACTCAGTTCCAAATTCAATTTCAGGCCCTGCTGATAAGTTTCATTCTTATTGCTCTGTGGCTCCAAGCTTTCTTAACACATTTTTATGGAGCGCAGTTCACCTTAACAGCTCTGATGTTGATGGCTATGTGCGATAAAGACTGCAGTCCGCTGGTTTAAATCCCATCTACAGGATCTCAGCTGCAAGCGCCCTTCTCTGGTGTCATCAGAATGCAATAACAGGGGGCCTCACAGCTGGGTTCTCTATAATGGCTCTGGTTGAGAAGCTCTGCAAGATTTAACTACTCGTGACAGTTCAGCTAGGACCTGGGCAGCGGGTGAGTGGGCTACAGAGCGCCCTTCCCAGGTGCAGGGTCCCGCCCCCTCCCCAGTGCCTCTCGTGCCGCTTCCTTTCTGGAGCTGCTGGTCGGCAGGGTCCGCAGCTGTGGCACTCTGTGGTGCTGGGAGTTGTGGAAAGTCCTCAAGGCAGAGCCCCCTTCTGAAGGGGTTCGGGGTGGCATTTCCAGTCAGCTGAACAAGGGAGCGGCAGGTCAAGTGCCATTCTTTGAGGAAAGTCAAAAATAATCCTGTCATCCTGCTTTTTTCAGTTTATATTCAATAAGTCAAACGATGGTTATTTCCTCATAGCAAAATTTATTTAGGATAGGGCCTTTAGCGGCAATCACTCCTAATGGGGTCATTTTAATTTTTATCTTTAAGTTTCTCCTTCCTATCATTCCTCCCTCAAGAACAAACTTTCAGGCCACTGCTTAAGAGCTGTAGGCAGATGGGTTGCTGACTGCAACTATATTTGAGGAATTCACACTCTTTTTAGCTTCCATGTCTACTCATCTGCATCGTCCTGGAAGTCTGGATTTGGTGCAGAGGATCCCTGGACGAGGGGAGGCTCAGGAGGGGACCTGCCCCACTGCACCTCCTCCTCTGTCACCACCCTGCTCCATCTCCATTTCCTTCTCCTGCCCTACCCTTCTTCCTCATCCTCACGGCCCTGTCCAGATGTCCAGCCCCTCCTCCCATGACCACCCCCCCAGTGTCTCTGGGGCATCATAAATAGACACCAAACACCCACATCCCTAGGCAGTGCTTCTGTATGGGCCTTGTGTGCCCTGAGCTCTCCTGAGAGGTGGCCTGAGCAGCCCAGCCATCCTCAGCACCACTAAGAATGCCCAGAGAGGGGCTGGTGACTGAAAGAGCAAACAGAGTCCAGGAAGGGCCCAGAGACGGGGAAGGGGAGGGGAGGGAGGGCGTCCACAGTAAGGGCCTGGGGATGGGAAGAAAGGGACAGAGAGAGAAGTGAGGGTTGCAGAGGGAGGGAAGGGACTGGGGTCCTGGGGATGAGTACTGTCTCTGTAATGAACATTTCCCAAATCGTGTTCCTTTGAAAACTGTGTTTATTTATGCTTTTATTAAGAAAAGATATATTTGACTAATTGTCCTCTCATGTTAAAATCAACGAATATTAAAGAAGAGTAAGGAGAGGCAAGGTCCAGAGAAGGGAATAAGAGCCACCCCGAGGGCCACACCAGTGGGGCTGAGGAAGTCCTGCACCACGAGTGTGCCCCCCTGGTGTGTCACTTAGCCCTGTGCACAGCTCAGGGACAGGACAGAGCGGCCTCAGGCCTGGCCGTGCAGGGCGCAGAGGCAGAACGGACGGCCATCACTACAGGGCTGAAGGACTGAAGCAGTTCGCCCGGAGGGAAGGGAGAGGTGGAGAGAAAGGCAACCTGAAGACAGCAACCGAGACGGAAGTCCCCGTCACCATGTCCAACAGAAGGGGTGGGGCATTGTGGAAGCCCCTCTTGTCATAGAGCAGGAACCCCCTGTGCTTTATGACGACCTTCGTTATGGTGCTGGTGCAAAACAAGGACCGAAACCACCTCCCAGAGCAGGACACTGAGGTCTGATAAGAAGTTGGTTGACAGTTACTCAAACTGGCAAACCGTAGTAGAAAGGACAGTGTTTTGAATATTTGATTCACCTCTCAAAACCAGTTCTCCATTGCCCCGTGACAGCGTTGATCTTGTCTCATTTCCCTGACTTTTTAGGGCAGCCAAACACTCGTACCATGAGGTGCTGCAGCAGGGCCATACTGACGAGCGGTCAGGGGCATGATGACATCACAGACCCCTGCAGCTGTCCGTCTTCAGGACCCGATGGCTCTCCCAGATGGAGACCCACGTCCTTTGAATACTTCCTGGTTCCCCGTCCTTCACCCCTGACATCCCCACTGTCCCCTAGAGCTGATGGCTGCAGTGCCTCCTGTCGGTGGGTTCTCATCAACTGTCCTTTTCCCCTGGGCAGGTGTCTTCAGGGTCCACCTGCTGTGTCAGGTGCCAGGATTTGCTCCCTCCTGAAGGCCAAGTAACACCTCACCGTGTGCAGAGACCCCATTTATCTTACCTGTCCACCTGTCCATGGGCACGGGGCCGTGTCCTCTTTAGGCTACCGTGACGGGTGCTGCTGTGGACACAAGTGCAGCGGACAGGTACCGTCTTTGCTCAGTTTCCATAGGAACGGGTTCCAGACTCCTGAAGATAACGAAACCCGCAGATGTTCAACTCCCTCATGCAAAAAGACCTACTGTCTGCATACGACATGCATCCTCCTGGTTACTTCACATCCTCTCTAGAAGTCTTCCAGTACCTGGTGTCCGTAGTGCTGGTTAAAGGGTTCTTATGCTGGGTTGCTTAGGAAATAATCACAGGGAAAACTGCATGTGTTCAGACTATTTTTTCAAGTCTATGGTTTCAGTCTATGGTTGATTGGACGCATGAAGTCCTGACTGCATATGGCTGAGCTTCTGCCTTCCATTCTTTTGAGCACGTACCTGGAAGTGATTTTTCTAGATCACAGGGCAATTCTGTGTCTGATTTCTTGACTCTGCTCTGTACAGTGGCTGCACCATCCTGCGTTCCCACCAGCAGTACACAAGTGTCCCCATTTCTGGGCATCCTCTACAATATCTGTCGCGGTCCATGTTTTGCTTGTTTTCGACAGGCCTGTCGTAATGGGTCTGCAGTGCATCTGATTTTGGTTTCTGCACTCCTGAATTTTTAAGAGCTACTTATAAAGAGTGGACAGTGTCCCCTCACCTGGCTCAGTGCTGTCTGCCTCGGGGCTTCTGGTTTCTCAGATCTCCTGCCCAGCCTCCCAGCACGATGCTTCCTGCTCACAGGACCCCATGTCGGTGCTGCTGAACCAGCTCAGGGGACTTCCGTTCCCTCCCGTGGGCACTGTCTCTGCACTGTCCACTAATGACGATGCTGTGGTGTCGGGAGAGCACACTCCTGTGCAGCCACCAGCCCCGCTGTCTAATCTGACCACCAGGCCAGTCTTCACCATCCCAACAGGGCACACGTCGGGGGAACGTCAGCGTCTCACTCTGACCCCTCCAGGGGCACCGTCAGGAGCACAGAAGCTCTTCTCTCTACCACTCTGGCTTCAGTGTTTATTAAAAAGGTAAGTAGTTCATTTGCAATACCCTTAAAATTAGGTCACATTTCACCTATTTTAGAGGGGGAAAAAAGAAAACCCTTTTTAATGGCCCTCACTATGAGTTGCTGCTGGAAGAATTAGCCATCAATTTGAGTATTACACATAAAACGGCAATAAATATGATATTCATAATCCAAAATGAACCTCATCAACCATTTACAAAGAACACCCAGTTTATTTAATAGGGTTGTGTTAATGCATTCTGTGAAGATAATAGCTCCAGACTGCTCATTTTCATGAGGGGATTGCCAGTGGGTAGACATTCAGTCTTATGTTCACGAGCCTACTGAGAAGATGGAAAATTCTGGGCTTTTTCCTTTCTGGCATGGAAGAAAACATCCCAACATGTCCTAGCCTCCATGTTGAAAGGTGTGGGATGTGATTTATTTGGAGAATCTCATTGTGCACCTCTTTCCATGTTTATCGGTGAACCCCAAGGTACTTACTCTGAGCACTCTGGCTCTCGGGCAGATGCCCAGCCAACCTGGATCTGCTCTGGGGGTTCCACCCAGGGCAGACATGTTCCCGTGAGCAGCTGGCAGCCTGGGGGGCTCCGAGCTGTCTGTACCTGTTTCCCCAGGTCATGTGTTTCCACAGCCAATGGCATTTTATCAAAACTTTCATTTTTATACTTTAAGCAGTATCAACCGCAATCAAAACATTCTGTGGTGAATTTAAGACTCAGAATCGTTGGACGTCAGGTTAATGACAAAAGCCTTCACTTTCCCCAGAATTACACGGGTGGGAGACTGCAAGGCAAGGGACGCCAGTGACCGTGGGAGAACTTGGTCCTGGAGGAGTCCACTCTCTGAGCACCGCTGTCTTCTCCCAATGCTTGCTCGGTCTCATCTTCAGGTGGCCGTGGCTGCACGGTATTCCTGGAACCCTGTCACAGGGCCACACAGTAACTCTGGAGGGACATGCAGTTATTCACACCTTAGGAAGGAGAGCCCCGAAGAGGTGGGCACGCACTCATGTTCAGTCTCAGGTCACGCAAATAATACAGAGTGACGGGTGGGTTCAAGAGAACTTGTTCTATTTCCATATTTTGATGAATAGATTCTTAGTAAAGAACAATGATTTTCAAAAATATATAAAAATGGTAGTAAGCATAGACATAGAAAATCAAGATTAAAAAAAAACAACACTAAAAGTGCGCATCAACATTAACACTGTTCATTCAACAGGGCCCTTGGGAGTGACCTTTCTCCTCCCCTTCCTTCAGCACCACGCCTAGGTGTCAGGGGTGCTGTCTC